TATTAATTTTAGCGAAAAGTGACTCACAGACAGCTTGTAGGGAGATTGGTTAATAAATAAAAAAGTTATTGCAAAAAAACAAGTAAAGTGACCATTTCTTAATTTGTTTATAACTATCGCATTTATTGTTAACATTTTGTAAAACCTATGACAAGTTGAGGGTTTTGTCATATTTTAAAAGTGTGCCAAAAGTGGGCGCTGTAGGTGCAATAGCACAATTCAATTTGTTTATAACGGAAGCTCCAAAAGTTATGAACTTTAAGCCTCTGTACAGGCGTTAATTTTCAACCAAACATGATTCTGAAAGCGTCATTGTAATTTTAAAGACGTAATTAAACGACCTATTAAAAAATATCACCGTTTTTTTGACACTAACGTTCTCAAATTGTGCATTAAAGAACCGTACGCTTTTCGCTTATAAACAATTTGAATAAAATTGTTGCTATTTATACTACCTCACCGAAAATAGATACAATGGATAGCTGGCAAAAAATAAAAATTTTAAAAAAAGCACTCTTTACGACCAACAGGAAGATTATTTTTTTTTAATCGCAGCGCAATTGTTTATAAATATTAAGACTTGAATTTTTCGCAAAATAAAGTTTACGACGTAAACTACGATATTAGTTAAGATTTCAATTTCGGAATTATTTTACTATTATTAAATAAATAAATGAAGCTACCGTTCATAACCCTCAACTTGTCATAGGTTTTATAAAATTTTAACAATAAATGCGATAGTTATAAACAAATTAAAAAATGGGCACTTTTCTTGTTTTTTTGCAATAAGTTTTTTGTTTAAGTTTGTTTTGTTTTTTGTACAAGTCTCATTTTGTAGATAATTTTACTCCCTACAAGCTGTCTGTGAGTCACTTTTCGCTAAAATTTATGGTTTTCCCTGCAAAGTGAAAAAACTGTTTTCTTCACTTATTTGTTTAAATAGAAAAGTTAACTAATAAAAGTTTTTGACTCACGAGATGAGAGATGTCTTGTATTATGTTCCTTTAGACAATTTTATATATATTTTTATACAGCGAATAGGACTTTTTTCGAGTAAAAATTGAATTTGCTTGGCCTAATACTAGTTCTAGGGAAAATAAAAAATGTCGTTGACTACACTCTGCTGGATGACCCAGAAGAGGTCAATAGGTACAGCAACCACAGACCCCTGGAATCAAAATAAGTTGAATTAAACCTCGATTTAGACAAACTTGACCTATATGAAAATGCTTATTTTAAAAGATACACAGTGTTACAATATTTTCTGACGATTTTTGAGATCTTTACTTTAAATTTGACAAGGATATCATTTATTTAATTGCAATTGTTATGACCCCTTAGCCTCCCCAACATTTTTGTACGTAAATCCATTATTAAAAAATTCTTGTTTTTCAATTTGTTACTTTATAACGAGTCCCGATAGGAAAAAAAATGAAGTACTACATCTTTCATTTTTGATTGTTTTTTTTTAAATATTAAATATATTTTTTTGTGAACGTTTTTTATTTTTATGAAGTTTTTTAAACAACTTTTTAGTAAAAATTATTTTATTAGTCAATAAATTTAATTGTTGTTATCAATCTAATTCCCTATTTATAAAAAACTTGGTTTTATACTGAACAGCAAAAACGTATTCCGTAAAAATTAATTCATACCCTTAAAGGAAAAATCTCGTATAAACATAATTATTAAAATCTTCCGTTTTAGCCGTATTTTAAGCCCCTATTTTTTTCAGAATAACAAAGTGAATTTTTTATTTTAAGATAAATCGACAAGGCATGATGCGAAATCGACAGATAATTAAGATATTCTGTCATATTCCTTAAAAGAACTATAGGCAAGGACATATAAAAAAACTTGCTCTACGCCACTGATGTAATGAGTGAAATATTTGAAGATTATTTTTCCCCATTTACCAAATTTGATTTAGATAAGTTAAACGTATCATTCATGTACTAAGCTGATGCAAATTGAATTTTTACCTCGCTAGTCTGGGGTTGATACAGGGTGTCCCGAAATTAATGCATCAAAATTTGGTCACAGATCCTTAAGGCAAATTTAGGGGGCCCGTATTTTTTATCTGAGGTATAAAAAAGACTATCCTTAGGGGCAGATTTTAGGGGGCTGTAACTTCGAAAGAGGGAGCCACTTGGCAAAAAGAAAAAATACGGGTCCCTAAATTTGTCCTAAGAATCTATGACCAAATTTTGTTGCATTAATTTTGGGACACCCTGTATAACCACTGCTTTCTGGACACCATATTGTACCTACACGATAATTTCTTAAAGTATTTTATTTTTTAATTCTATTTCAAGGCACAGTTACATATTTGTTAACAGAATACACATACGTTTTCCATCGGTATTCATACAATTCTCTTATTTGAAAACCTTACTGTTTGGAAGTTGTGATCTAGCGGATAGTATACATTAGTGTCTGTCAGATAGAGTTCCTATTTCCGTAAGGGGACTTTAATTAAACGTGTACACATCGGCAAGATACGTCTGAGGCTACTTTAGCAAATTTTCTGGCTACTGTCCAAGAATATTGAAACTCCTTCGGCTCTTAACTCAAATCTTATTATGGATAAACTGCGTTTTACCGAGTTTCAAGTCTGTATCTTCAATTACTTTTTAATAATTACCTAATCAAAAACTTTATACAGGGTAGCCCATCGAAAACGTACCGCAAGGCATTACAGGGTAGTAAAAAACTTTTCGGCAAAATCCAAAAACAGGTCAAATTTGTTTCTGAGGGGGACAACTTTTGGCTCAAAAAGCATACCAAAATCTTCAACCCCCTAAGTGGGGGTGCTATCCCCTAAATTTTTTCAAATGGGAATGGGGGTCAAGTGGGGGGTCATTAGAAAGGGCTTTTAATTCTCTATACATCGATTCTTACTTTTTGAAAATCGATTCATTATTTTAGAAAATATGCAGCTTTGAAAATACGAACAATATTTTTGACGAGAAATGCGAAAATCGATTTAATTTTACTTCAAAACTTACGGTATTAGTCAAGTAAATGCTGAAAATGTTGTCCGCCAACTTGCATACAATGATACAGGTTGTCTTCAAACCGTTGTCGAACATTCTGGAGCACTTGCGGTGTTACTTCGCGACATACATTAATGATTCGTCCTCGCAGATCTTCCAAGGTATCAGGTGGAGTGCTGTAAACTTTGCTTTTAATGTGCCCCCAGAGAAAGAAATCTAAAGGATTTAAGTCGGGTGACCGAGGGGGCCACTCAATTGCACCTCTTCGTCCTATCCAGCGTCCTGGAAACGTCTCATTTAGGTAATTGCGCACATTGAGCGAGTAATGTGGAGGAGCTCCGTCTTGCTGGAAAATCAGTTCGTGTTCATTGTAAGCAGGGTCGTCCTCTATGATATTTGTTAGAGCTGGGTCGATGACATTTTGTAGTAAATCCAAGTACATATCGCCTGTCAAATTTCCAGGAAGGAAAAAAGGACCTACAATGGAATTTCCAAAAATACCTGCCCATACATTCAACTTCTGGGGGTGTTGGGAGTGTGTCTCATGGAAAATCCTTGGATTGGTATCAGCCCAGTAACGACAATTATGGCGATTCACTAAACCATTCAAGAAGAACGTACACTCGTCCGAAAAACACACATTAAAGAGGAAATTATCGTTTATCGCTCGTTCAGTCATTATTTCGCAAAATTGCAAACGACGATCAAAATCGTCTTCATTTAGCTCTTGCACTAGCCGAATCTTATAAGGATGGAATTTGTATTTTTTTAATATTCGTTGGACACTTGTACGACTCACTCCTGTCGCAGTAGCCAATTGCATTGTACTCAGCGTACTATCCATTGCCACTTGCCCCAATACCGCTATTTCCGTAGGTTCATTTAGTACCGGATTTTCAACCTGCCTCTTTTTGTTATGAACGGAGCCAGTTTCGCGAAATTTGGCCACCAATTCGCGAACAATTTTTCCAGACGCATGTTTCTCAGGATGCCGTTGGTTGAACAGTTCGGCGACCCGATTTCCGCATTCATTGTTTTTGAAAAAAAGCTCAATAATTTCTACTCTTTCTGGAATTGAGTACACCATAATTAATCAATTTAAAAGACTCGGCAGTATTGGTACTCTTCAACTACAAGTCACAAGACAGTTATCTAGCAACTTCTTGTGGCCTATCTAAATACGAAACAAAAAGCGGACAATTTTTTGCTCACCAAAATCAGGCTAAAGAATTCGCAAATCAAAAAAAAAAACAGCGAATTCTTTTGAAGGAATTTACCAAGCTAATACCGTAAGTTTTGAAGTAAAATTAAATCGATTTTCGCATTTCTCGTCAAAAATATTGTTCGTATTTTCAAAGCTGCATATTTTCTAAAATAATGGATCGATTTTCAAAAAGTAAGAATCGATGTATAGAGAATTAAAAGCCCTTTCTAATGACCCCCCACTTGACCCCCATTCCCATTTAAAAAAATTTGGGGGATGGCACCCCCACTTAGGGGGTTGAAGATTTTGCTATGCTTTTTGCGCCAAAAGATGTCCCCCTCAGAAGCAAACTTTACTTGTTTTTGGATTTTGCCGAAAAGTTCATTACTACCATGTAATGCCTTGCGGTACGTTTTCGATGGGCTACCGTGTATATTACATTACATTACTTTATATTTATCATCAATCATCATTTTTCCCTAGCCTCTCCTTACTGCTTCTTTTTTGGCGTCGATGCTGTTCAATCATCTTTACGCATAGAAATAGGAAAGTATTTACTCGACTGAAGGTAAGGAAGATATAAACAAGTTATTAAAAGTGTTGCGACAACAAAAAACCGGCACATGCGCCAATCTTCGTCCCCAATTGATAATCTGGTAATAATCAATACGTGTGTTTTAAAACAAGTACGACATTTTACTACACGAAACGCGCCGATATCTTATCAACATGATAACGATATCCCAATTGCATGGCGAATTTTATATTTTTCATCGACAGAAAGGGTTCTTCAGTCAAATATGGACTCTTGCCAGTACTGCGGCAGTGTCTTCTCAAAGACCGACTCCGTGGACCCCACCGCGAGGTTGTATGACACCCATGAAACGTCCAAGAGTAAGTGGTGGTGCCTCAGAGGACTATGTTCGCGAAAAACTGACCAAAGTGTTGACGTCATCGTTTTCTCTACCTCGGACACGCCACGGGAAGGAAAGTACCAGAGGAGGCGTACCATACAGTTTGATCTGGAACAGAATGGTAGTCTAGGAGTGAGGAATCACAGGATAACGCACGCGTCCATTCTGAAGGCTGTTAAGGTTCGTTGTTTTGCTGCTTTGCTCGAAAACTTAAAGACCGTACATAGAATGTGACAATTCCTCTGAAATTTACACTGGCATTTCAGTTTCGTTAGACGATACATAAAGTAAAATATTACTATTATAGGATGCAGTGTATCCCCTGGCAAAAAAAAAGAAAAATTGTAAATTACTGGAAACTAAGCCGTTTTAATTTTATTCGTAAGCTGCTGTGTAACACATTTTACGTTCTTGGGTTCTGAGTATTGCATCTTAAAATAATCCAAATGCACTTGAAATTACCACAAGGTATCTATGGTGGTTTCAAATTATATTAGGTTAAAATCTACAATTTTCAATGTACAACGAATACAAATTATATATTTCGAAAAACAATATACAATTTGCTGTAAAAAATAAGTCAAAAACACTTTGTAGTGGTACGTATGTATCCATTATTTGAAAGTTGTTTTTTTTTAGATGAACCTATTTTGTTATTTCACAAAGTAAATAAATATAGTTTTATTTATTGTTGTGCACTTCGCAAAATCATATGCGTCCCATTTAGGTTGGTGAAGGGGGTTTTCGCACTTTATGTACGGCCGTGCGGCTGGAAATGCATCAGAAGCGAGGCGTCTGTATGCGGCAGCATACCCGAATAGAAGACTTCCTTCTCGACAGGTATTTCAAGTGCATATCTGCCAATTCTGACATTTCCGTGTTTGAATATGACTCCATTTTATGAGTTGCAATAATGTTGTATACTTAAATTTTCCACTCACCACTTTTACTAATTAAACACTGCAAAGCTCAATTGACAGTTTATCAATAACTTATATTGTTAAGCGTTGTGGCAACGTCAGTCTTTTATTTGCCATGGTAAACAGATTTTTTGTAATTTTTGGCCTAATAACTTAAAGAGCAGAGTAATTTTCAAACTCAATTTACTCGAAAACCATTGGAAATATCGATTTGGACAAAAATAATATTTTTTACGTAAAATTGTTAAGATTTTATAAATCTGTAGAGAAAATTGTAAAAAAATGGAAATAAAAAAAATTACGGGCCGAAAACCCCCTTCACCAACCTAAATGGGACGCATATGATTTGCATGTCGAAAAACGGAGTAGCCCATGCTATTTAACATAAAAAGTTATGCAAGACCCATAAATTGTTTTCTATTTATTTGCGACCGTTTTGTCAATAACAGAAAAAAACAGTTTTGTTTGAGCCCTTTTAAGGGCATATAACTTTCTAAGGGTGCGTTTTAGGGCACATGTTAATCGGAACTTTTTGGCTTATTTTAATGAGTTATAAACGCAGCAGAAGTTTGGAACCCTATTTTAGAAACACCCTGTATATTGTATTATTATTTCTAAGTGGACCTTTTAAATTCATTATATTTATTGTGATATAGTCTTATAAAAACAATGGCAATTTTAGTATTTTAGTAAGTATGTGTAATGTAATTGAAGGTGGTTTATCTATGTACTATCCGATTTCGACAGCGTGACAGCTAACAGTTCAGTTACTCAAAATGGAGAACTACACGAAAGAACATTGCGTTTTCATTATTGAACAATGTTTTGAAATTGACGAACGTTTGGCAGTTGCAACTCACAATTTTCATACAAAATATGGTCGAAATAGTGATTTAGTTTCATCAACGATGAAGATATTAATTAAAAAATTCAAGGAGACTATATCAATTAGTGATCTTAAATACTCTGGCTGTCCTTCAACAAGACGTTCAACACAAAACATCAAAGCAATTCGTGAGACTGTTGCTGAGAGTCCAGAAACATCAATTGGGCACCAAGAATCTGACATATGGAGAAAATTCTCTACGAAAGATTTGCATCTTCATGGTTACAAAGTTCAATTGACTCAAGAACTGAAGCGTACTGACCACGCAGAGCAAAGAGAGTTCGTTGAATGGATTATGAAACACGTGAATGTTGATTTTTCGAACAAAATTATCATCAGCGATAAAGCTCAATTTCATCTCCATGGTTTCGTTAATAGACTAAATTGTCGCATGTGGGGTTCGGAAAATCCACGAGTAATTGTTGAAAAACGAATACATCCACAACGTGTCACGGTTTGGTACAAATTTTGGGCTAGAGGCATCATCGGACCGTACCTACTTCTTTGAAAATGCAGCTGGTCAGGCGATAACAGTTAATGGTGTTTGCTATCGCAACTAGATAATCCAGGTTTTTGTGCCTAAATTGCAAGATATAGATGTAAACGACATGTGGTTTCAACAAGAGGTGCCACATGCTATAAGTCTGTTTTGGTAATCAGAATTAGCCGCCCAGATAATGCGATTTAACGCCGTTGGACTTTTTTCTTTGGGGTTTTTCGAAGGTTTGTGCCAACAAGCCACGCCTGAAGGAGGAAATTGAGCGCTGTATCAACGAAATTCAGCCGCATTCATGAAAACGGTCATGGAAAATTTCGACAGAAATATGCGGATGTGCCAGCAAAACCGTGAAGGCCATTTACCCGATATGCTATTCCATAGCATATCGGGTAAGTAGCCCTATACTGTATACTTTATGAATAAGTAAAAAATTTATAATTTTTAATTAAAAGCCTGTGTTTTCTGTCAATATTCTTCTTCTTCTTCATCTAGTGGTTGGTCCTTTAAAAGTCCCATAGCACTGCGGCCTAATTAGGCCTATTGTGCGTCCCACTACTAGTCCTATTTAGGAAGTAGATTTGTCCTTTTTACAAAGTCCAAAAGCTTTCTTGCTGACACTTCTCTCAGTTCGTTGGGTTCCAAATAGGGTCTCCCAAGGAGGGCCATTCTGCTACGTGCAAATCCCGGGCACTCGCCCAGGATATGCAGAGAAGTTTCATCCGCCGATTCATATCCTCGGCATACCGGACAGTCTACAAGCTTTAGTTTATGCAGATGTTTCCTAAAGTGACAGTGTCCCGTTATGAGTCCTGTCACTTTCCTGAGCCGGATTCTGTTCAAGCTCAGTAGCTCATTCGCTCTTCCCTTCGAAGAATACTCCATAAGCTCCTTAGAATGGCTATGTCCTGGCCTTGAAGTCCAGTATTTCCTGTGTTCTGTCTCAGTCCATTTGCCCAGAGCCCGCCTGACCACACTGGGAGATGTGCCACAGAAGGGCTCCGGGCCAATGAACTCTGTCTCGGATCCCTTCCTAGCAAGTTCATCCGCTTTCTCATTTCCACAAATGCCTTTGTGCCCTGGCACCCAACACAGTCTGACTGTATTGTTGGTGGCCAGTTCAGTCAGCATTTGTAAACAATCCCACACCAGTTTTGAACTTACCTTGTGTGCGGCTAAAGCTTTAATTGCAGCTTGACTATCAGAGAATATATATATGAGTTTACGTCTATAACCTCTACGTACATTCTCTGCCAGACACGCCATTATCGCGAAGATTTCTGCTTGGAATACAGTAGGGAACTCCCCCAGACTGTAGCTTGCACTCCATCTGGGTCTGAGTCCATATATTCCTGCACCCGTCCCTCTGGTCATTTTGGAGCCATCTGTAAACCATACTAGGCTCCACCTTTCCAGGGTATTAAACCTTTCCTCCCACTCGCTTTGATCCTCTATTCGAGTCTCAAATGGCTTGTGGAAGTGAAACTTTGGAACCATCTTGTCGGATACCATCCCAAGAATTGGTTCCGACATAGATGTATCTTTGATCCTGGAGTGGGAACCACCCCTCCAGTCATTATTATTCCTGAGTCGATATGCTGCTAGCCGCGCTTCTCTCTCCACCACTATATGCAGCGGTGGCAGATTTAGCATGACTTCTAGTGCAGCTGTCGGGGTCGATGCCATCGCCCCCGTTATACCTAAACAGGCCAATCTCTGAATTCTATTCAGTTTTTCCTTCGCTGTGGTCTGTTGTGTTTTCTGCCACCATACCACCGCGCCGTAAAGAATCCTGGGTCTTACTATCGACGTATACAACCAGTGTGACATCTTTGGTTTCAGTCCCCAGGTTTTCCCAATAAGGCGGCGGCATACACACAGTGTCTGCTTCGCCTTACTCACCACTTTTTCCAAGTGCGCATTCCAGGTAAGCTTATTATCCAGTATCACTCCTAGATATTTTACTTCCCTGGAAAGTGTAATGCTCCTCTCCCCTATTATAGGTTCAGAGAGTCCAGTTATTATGAATTATAAATTTATTTGTAATAATACAAAATTTATTTTAGACTGAGTAGGTACATAGATTTTTTGTTAAGAACTAACTGAGAATTGAATTCATCAATCTTTCTCAACTCGTCATTGGCGTCGAAATTTTGGGTTTATTAGTAGTAGTGTATCGCAGTATATCTGCCACATAAAAAATTTAGTCAATGTCAGCTGTAGTTGTAGTTGCAGTTACAATAACTTGTTTATACAATAATATGTATGTATATCCAGCCATTGAAGATAAAGAACTGACGGTATAATATTCTTCTCCATATACTCGTATTTATTAATTGGAATCAAAATGACTGTAGATCCAAACGTCGTGATAAGGGGCCAGTCCATTTTCATGTTACCTGACGTGATAGCTAGATATTATCTATATCCCACTTTCTAGATAATAATGCTAAACAACATTTTATTAATAGTGAAAATAAAATTGTTGTATTTACTGAAATAATTGCTTTGGAGGAGTACCTACGTAAATATCATTTTGTTATTTACTTTTGAAATCTACGCTTTCAAACATCTTATGATATAGAAAAACTTATGAACAAACAATAAGACCTTCAGCAATATTTTTTAATTCAATTTTTTTTAAGATGATTATGTTCTTTTTTAAATACAGTCTGTCAAAAATGTATTCGGAATTTGTCAATAAAACACAATATATATGCAATTAATGATCAAAATTTATTTTGTCTCCTTCAAAATAGGCTCCATCTGAAGCAATATACTTTTTCCAACGAATGTCAAAGCACTTTTTAAACACATATTCAGGTATGGACTCTTTCAGCGACTTTTGCTTATAGTTTGTATCCACTCGAAACATGTT